AAATTTACCGAAAGTGACATATAGATTTCGTAAAATCCTTGCAGCAACAAATAGATTGAAAAATAAATTAACAAATTAACATATTAATCGTTGCGGTTATCGATTTGAACAATGATATCATGCATATTTGTCGAAAATGATAAAACTAGAACACATATCTCATACTGTCCGCTCTTTGTGAGTACTATAAATGAATGCGGATATATGTGCAAGTATACACAATCGAACAAGTAATACAGTGATAAGTGAGTATCGTCTCCACAGAGATTGGAGGAAATTAAATAAGTTTGTCAAGGCACTTTACTTTATCACCTAAGTAAAGTTAGTAATGGTATATACAAATGATAATGCAGGGGCAAAATGGAATGACTGATGTGGAAGTGAAACGATGGTAATGTGGTAGCAAATGGATATGTCATGGCAAAATAGATTGTGTTTAATGCAAACAAATAAAAATATCAAGGAAAAATAAAATGTAAATATATGATTTAATTAATAGGACTTTGGCTTTCTCACACGACAAGCTACTATGGGAATGAGTGATGGGAGTCACTCTGGAAAACCTAAGTTTACTTCTCGGAATGATCTTATCTCTATGCCTCTTCTGCCCGACAGAGTATACTAAGGTGCCCTGTGCTATCTCTAGTAAGGGACTCGACAGATTGAAGATGCCCTCGCAAAACCGGTTTGCGTAAACCCCTACAGTTATCCTATTGGTCCAGATAACAAGATATGTCTTGGCAATACCTTTTTACGGCAGCATTAACATCTAACCTATCGTTCATTCACAACTGCTTTTAGTCGAATGGAATCCTAGCCTTATCTCTAAGGTGGATTAGGCCTAGTTACTACCTAGAACCCCTTGTTTATGTAGTTCCTTCCTAGTTTCTCTCGAACACTAAGGATGTGTTATCTCGGTATTCTCTTGAACCCAAAAAATCTCCTAAGTAATGGCTACTCTCGTAGCTCCTACAACCTTAAGGCACTAAGTCTCATAAACAAAACATAATATAACATAGAAAAACAACCATTCATTGAAATAAAACTTAAACATCCAAGTGAACTCCCACCAAATAGGTTTAGTTCATGGTGGGGTTCGAAATAAACAAGCACAAAACAAGTTTCATCCGTTCCTTACAACCCAATAACAAAATATGAAAGCAAAAAACTAAAGGAATGAGAAAAAGCCTTTGACGTGCACTGTCGGAGCTTCTCTCGGCCACCACGAACTGCCCCCAGCGAACTAGCTCCTCTCGGATGTCTAGAACGCCACTCCCTCAAGCTTTTCATGGAGAAATGCCACGAAAAGTAGGATTACCGGAGAAAGATGAGACATTATCTCTCTAACTTTTTAAGCTCAAATCTGGGTGGAACCAAAATCTCTAACAATGTGGCTTCATCCTCTATTTTATAGGGGAAAATTAACCCTTGAACTAAGAGTTGACTTTCCCAAACCATGGTTAACTTTGCTTGGGAGTCGGGCAAGACAGGTGATGATACAGCCTGGGTAGCTGGCATGAGTGACCGGCATAATCCCGCTGCAGGCGCACAAGGGCAGACAAGATCTACAGGGTCAGACAACGTCATCAGTAGAACCGGTGGTTGTAGCACCGATCCCTCCATGTATATCTTCGAGGTGGATTTCTCGGGCAAAGCTCTTGGACAGTTGGATACAGTTGGCTTCAAAAATATCTTCTCGCACTTTAAGAACTTTCGAAATGCCAGTTGAACTTGGCAAATTCATTTTGCTCAGCAATCTCCTTATGTCACGGCATTTTATTTCCTCTTTTCCTTGCTCTCAATACATGCACATCATCAGACAAGTACCTTTCCCATAAAGCAGCACCGCTGTAAAAATAAAATGCCTCGGCAAACCGAAATCCACCACATGCAACTAAATGCTTCTAAATGCCTCTACATGGTTCTAAATGAGCCTTTAGACATTCAATAACTTAAGTTAAAAGGTCCCAAAATGTGGCCTTTTACGGAGTTATCACACCCCCAAACTTAAGGTATTGTTTGTCCTCAAGCAATGGATTGTAATAAGCAAAACAAAAATACTATGGCAAGTTCAGAAACAACATAGTTTCATGGAATAAAATTTCATCCCTAAGCACATATGGCTTCAACATGCTAGACTAGGTTGAGAAATCTTATATTGTCCCCTAGGGCAAGATTCTTTGTGTGAGTGTGTGCGCTTTTGTATCCAGTCCATGCTTAACAAACTTAAAAAATTTTCTACGCAAGCTTTCTTAATTTACCATGACATTTTCTAAATCAACTCCCACCTTTCCTTTATTTTCTTTTATTAGTTATGCTACGAGGGGAGTCAGCCCATCACTATCATCCCACACTCTAGGTGAAAGGGAGTATACCTTCCACCCCCGAGCTAGTCAGGTAGAGTCATCCCGTGACATCTTTCATTCACTCATATGCCATGGCATAACTAAGTGTCCCTCTACAGATATGCCTAGTCATTTATTCAAAACTTCAAACTTTTTTTTAAGCATAGAAACAGGGCTTTCAACAGTCAAAGTTTTATGCCACGTCATTTTAAGAATTCTCTTATAAAAGATTTCTAAGTTTCTCAAGCATGAAAAACATACAATCGTGTAATCAAGGGTTTCAAAGAAGCAAGTCCTAGAGTTGGTTCTATCATCCTCAACCAGTCATATACATTCTATCCTAGCCATCAAATTCATCATCAACGGGCATCCTTAATTAATTCCATAAAACTATTCATGCAATTACTAATGTCATGGCATATGTATTTTACTACTACTATCATGCAGTGATTCGAGAACCCTACTTCCCCCAAACTTGAGAGAAGCATTGTTCCCAATGCTTACTAAAACTAAGGAAAACAAAACTACATGCTATGAATGCAATGCTAATGCAAGGTACCTTGACTTTAAGCGGGTGGTGGTGCAGCGGCTGCACGGCGAGTGCGCTTTCTCAGCTTGGCGGGGCTAGAATGCTCAGAGTCAAATGCAGGTGTGGCTGGAGGAGTGCTAGGTCTTTTTGGAACGACTGGGAGCGGGGGCTCTTGATGTTGAGATGCCTTCCTAAGGCGACATCGGCTCCTACGCAAAGGAGCTTATTGTGGCATCTCGGATTGTGACTCCTCGGTTGACTCGGTGGGGAAGGGTACTTCAGGGTTCTCTTCTTCCATTGGTGCAGCAGGTTGCGGTATATCAGGATGTTCTGCCGCCAAGGGTTCAACATGTTGGGGAGATTCCGGATAATGAGCGAGTTGGAGGTTGGCTTCTTGATCGGCATCAGGCGCATAATATGGACAGGATCAGGGTCTTTGGGATCTTCAGCGTCAGCAGGCTGGGGACTCTCTGTACCATGCAATCGAGGGGCATCGATATGGGCAGAACGAGGTGCTTCTGCATATGCCTCAGCATCCTCATTCTGTGGCACGAGTATGTCAGGGAAGACAAGAATGGTGAAGTTTGCGTGCGGGAGGAATTCCATCAAGGCGCTAGTGGGAAATTTAACTCGGTGTTTGGCATAGGCGAAATATGTCATAAGTTTGTCAGACAGCTGCCCGACATGCTCTTGAGTGCACTGGACTGCCTGCTCTAGGGCATCTGAATTTGCCTTGGCATGTGGAAGCCTCTTTTTCCTTCCCCTTTGCTTCCTTCAATCCCAACAATAAAGGAATCTTCGCTTTGGTAATTCTAGTAATACCCGGTAAAATCTCATCAAACACTTCTTCAAGAACCTTCTTCTTTCGGTATAAGGCGGTGATGAGATTCAGAAATACCAAAGCACTCGCAGGTCGCTTCAGGCACAGATGAGACTGTTCTGCGATAATTTTCCCTACATCAATGGCTCATCCGAATATGATTGAATGCAGCAAAAGCATCCACTAGCTGGACACGGTAGTGTTGTAGGATGTGGGTAAAAGTTTGTGCTTCATGAAATGATTCCACAACTTCACTTGCGGGAGCAGCCTCTCCCGGTCTAAGGTCTTACGGCTCATTTGTTGACTGTTCCATTGAGTGCCGGGAAGACAAAGGTCTTCTAAGATGCCTTGGTATGTTTCATTGTCAGCTTCCTGAGCGAAACTGGCATGGTGGTCTTCCACAACCTACAGTTTAAAATAACGATTAATGGCAGAAGGAGTAAAACGAATAGAAATGTCACGAACCGTCACGACATGCTGGTTTGGCTCGGATATGTTGGAGTAAAACTCTTTCACTAAAGTGGCGTTGACGGCGGCGGGATTCTTGGCAAATTTCTGCCACTTATGTTTGGTGACCACATCTAGAACCTCACTCCCTAAGGCAGCATCTTTCTCTTCAGAGAAGACAAACCCCAACTCAAAAAGACGCGATAATTTTTTATTGTTTGGAACCGTTCGCGGGCAGAATCATCGACAAACCGTGGCAGCGAAGGTGGTGCAGAAAGGCGGGAACGGACCATCGTTTAAAAAAGAAAAATGAGAAAATAAGGAAAAAACTTAAACTTTGGACGGTTATGACGGTTTCAGTCAAAGAGAGAAGAAGAATATGAGATAAAAAAAGTTAAAGGAAAAGTAAAAAGGGAATGAAGATAAAAACAAAAATGAGATTATGTGGGGGATAAAAAAAAGAAATGGTGGGTCTAGGCGGGATGAAAACTAAAATTAAAAGTTAAAAAATTTTAAACCTAGTAAAAGTGAAAAAGTTCCCTCATTTTACTATTCACTTTTGCCACCCAATTTTCACAAGCTTCCTTTATACTCTTCACGTGATGGTCATGCGAGAATCCCCTTGCAACAAAAATAAACATAATTAATTAAAAATAATAAAGACTAAAATAATAGTAAAATAAAAATTATTTATGCACATGAGTAAATTTAAAATGTCAGGGCATCCTTAAGATGCCAGACCAGTGTCGACGTCGTGCAAGAGCAGCTCCGACTTGTCACGCGCAGGTGGGATTCCTTAGTAAGCCTTCAGGCGCTATCCATTGACTTTAAAAATGGATCCATCATCCATGTTCTTGATATCAACAGCGCCATATGGGTAAACATGGTGAACTTCAAATGGTCCCGACCAACGTGACTTTAGTTTGTCAGGGAAGAGTTTGAGCCTTGAGTTGAAAAGAAACACTTTCTGGCCCTCATGAAAATTCCGTGGCAAAAGATTTTTGTCATGCCACTTTTTGGTTCTTTCCTTGTAGAGCTTGGCATTTTCATATGCTTGTGCTCGAAACTCCTCTATTTCATTCAAATCGAGCAATCGTTTCTCCCCAGCAAGTTGCGCGTCGAAGTTTAATTTCTTGATTGCCCAGTATGCCTTATGTTCTAACTCAACTGGGAGGTGGCAGGCTTTTCCATATACCATCTTGAAAGGTAACATTCCCAGAGGCGTTTTGAATGCCGTCCTATAGGCCCATAATGCTTCATCGAGCTTGGGGGACCAATCTTTCCTTCGAGGGTTCACCACCTTCTCAAGGATTTGCTTGACTTCCCGATTGGACACTTCAGCTTGCCCATTTTTCTGCGGGTGATATGTCGTTTCAATCTTATATCGCACTCCATATTTATGTAATGCCTTGGCAATTAATCTATTATCGAAGTGGGTGCCCTCATCGCTGATGATGGCTCTCGGTACTCTAAATCGATTGAATATGTTCTTGTGAAGGAACTTGAGCACCGTCTTAGAGTCGTTTCTTGGCGTGGCAATTGCTTCAACCCACTCTGAAACATAGTCCACCGTAAGAAAAATGTATAAGTCTCCAAAGAAAGATGGGAATGGTCCCATGAAATCAATGCCCCAAACATCGAAAAGTTCTATCTCCAGAATATTTTGCAGCGGCATTTCATGTCATCTGGAAATGTTTCCAGTGCACTGGCATCAGTCGTACGCCTTGCAAAATTTATGGGCATCTTTAGTTAGCGATGACCAATAGAAGCCCGATTGGAGAACCTTTCCAATAGTCCTCGAACCTCCAAAATGCCCTACATAGGTTGTTGTGTGGCAATGGTATAAGATATTGCGTTGCTCCTCTTCGGGGACACACCGTCTAATCATCTGATCGACACATTGCTTGAACAAGCACGACTCGTCCCAAAAATAGAACTTGGCATCATGCAGAAACCTCTTTTTGCCCTGGCTGTTTAGTTCATAAGGAAAAACAACACTGACAAGAAAATTAACATGGTCAGTATACCACGGAATTGCCTTGGCATATAAAATTTTCTCGTCAGGGAATTCTTCTTTAATATCAAAAATGTCATGGCATTCTGAAATATTCTCTAGCCTAGATAAGTGGTATGTAACCTGATTTTCAGTACATTTCCTATCAACTACCTCTAAGTCGAATTCTTGCAAGAGTAATATCCATCTAATCAGTTTATGCTTGGCATCTTTCTTGTTCACTAAATATTTTATAGCTGAGTGATCGGTGTGAACTATGACCTTTGTGCCTATCAAGTATGGCATAAACTTGTGAAATGCAAATACCACGGCAAGTAATTCCTTCTCAGTGGTAGTGTAATTCAATTGTGCATCATTTAAGGTATGGCTAGCATAATAAATCACATGAAATATTTTACCTCTACGTTGCCCAAGCACAGCTCCCATGGAAAAATCACTTGCGTCGCACATTAATTTGAACGGTGTCGTCCAGTCTGGGGGAACTACGATCGGTGTAGAGATAAGTCTTTACAACTCTTTGAATGCACCATGGCATTTTTGATCGAACACAAACGATTGGTTCTGTTGCAGCAGGGTGCACAAGGGCTTGGATATTATGGAGAATTCCTTGATGAATCTTCGATAAAATCCAGCATGTCCAAGGAAACTCCGAATGCCCTTGACAGAGTTTGGTAGGGGTAGCTTCTCGATTACCTCGATCTTGGCCTTGTCTACCTCAATACCCTTTGCAGAAATCTTGTGGCCTAGAACAAAGCCTTTTGTTACCATGAAGTGGCATTTTCCCCAATTCAGTACGAGGTCAGCCTCCTCACATCGCTTCAGTACCTTTGCCAATTTGCCGAGGCCTTTTTGAAAGTCGTCCCAGAAATAGAAAAATCATCCATGAAAATCTCAAGATAATCCTCAACCATGTCAGAGACATTCATGAAAATCTCAAGATAATCCTCAACCATGTCAGAGAATATAGCTTGCATACAGCGCTGAAAAGTTACCGGGGCATTACAGAGTCCAAAAGGCATTCTTCGGAAAGTATAAGTGCCATAAGGGCACGTGAACGTGGTCTTCTCTTGGTCTTCTAGTGCGATGGCAATCTGGTTATACCCTGAGTAACCATCCAAGAAACAATAAAATGCTTTGCCAGCAAGTCGATCCAGCATTTGATCGATGAATGGCAAAGGGAAATGATCCTTCTTGGTGGCCTTGTTAAGCTTACGGTAGTCCATACAAATTCGCCACCCGGTGACTGTGCGAGTAGGTATCAACTCGTTATCTTCACTCGTCACCACGGCCATGCCTCCATTCTTGGGCACGCATTGAACGGGACTCACCCACGAACTATCCGAAATAGGGTAAATTACTCCACCATCAAGCCATTTGAGAATCTCTTTCATCATAACTTGCTTCATGATTGGGTTCAATCTTCGCTGTGGCTCTATGGATTTTCCATGGCATTCTTCCAGCAAGATTTTGTGCATGCAGATTGTTCGACTTATTCCCTTCAGATCTACTATCGTATACCATAACGCTTTCTTATGTTGTGACAAAACACTTAACAAACTCGTTTCTTGGTTAGGAGTAAGGGCGTAGGAAATAATCACAGGAAAAGTTTTATCACTACCCAAATAAGCATATTTAAGATGTTGTGGCAAATTCTTAAGTTCTAGGGTAGGAGCATGTTGTAATGAGGGCTTGGGAGGAACAAACTCTTTAAATTTCAAACGTTCAAAAAGCGTACCTGGTCTAGCTTTAAGGAAGCTAGCTTACTGTTCCTCGAATAAAAAATCATTAGGCCCTTCGGCCTTTAAGTCTTCGGATCTTTCTCGCAGTAGTTGTATTCCATGATTATGAAATCTCGCAAATGGATGTCAAAACCACTTTCCTCAATGGAAAACTTGAAGAGGACGTGTATATGACACAACCATAAGGTTTTGTCATTCCAAGAAATGCTGGAAAGATTTGTAAGCTATAGATATTTATTATGGACTACACCAAGCTTTTCGAAGATGGAATCTTCGTTTCAATGATGCAATCAAAGAGTTTGGTTTTATCAGAAATGAAGATGAGTCTTGTGTTTATAATAAGGCTAGTGGGAGCATTGTTTCTTTCCTAATCTTGTATGTAGACGACATACTCATCATAGGAAATGATATACCTACTTTACAGTATGTTAAGACTTGGTTAGGTAGTTGTTTTTCTATGAAAGATTTGGGTGAGGCAGCGTATATCTTAAGAGTTAAGATCTATAGAGATAGATCAAGATGACTTCTAGGTCTGAGTCAAAGTACATATATAGACAAAGTGCTGAAAAGGTTCAGTATGGAAGAATCCAAGAAAGGATTTTTGCCTATGAGACATGGCATTTCTCTTTCGAAGGAAATGTGTCCTTTAACTCCACAAGAAAGAGAATGGATGAATAAGATTCCATATGCTTCGGCTATTGGTTCTATCATGTATATCATGATATGTATTCGACCATATGTATCGTATGCTTTAAGCATGACGAGTCGGTATCAAGCAAACCCTGTGAAAATCACTGGGTTGCGGTTAAAAATATCCTTAAGTACTTAAGAAGAACTAAGGATAAATTTCTTGTCTATGGAGGGGAGGAAGAGCTTAGTGTAAAAGGTTATACTGATGCCAGCTTCCAAACTGACAAGGATGACTCACGATCGCAATCGGGTTTTGTGTTTTGTCTTAATGGAGGTGCTGTGAGCTCGAAAAGTTCGAAGCAAGACATAGTAGATGATTCTACAACAGAGGATGAATACATTGCAACCAGTGAATAAGCAAAAGAGGTTATTTGGATCAAGAAGTTCATATTGGAATTAGGGGTTGTTCTCAGCATATCAGATGCTCTAGAACTTAGTTGTGACAATAATGGAACCATTGCATAGGCAAAGGAACCCATATCTCATCAACGATCCAAACATATTCTTAAGCGCTTTCGTCTCATTCGAGAGATCATAGATCAAGGAGATGTGGAAATATGCAGAGTAAACACGAATGACAACATTGTTGATCCCTTGATGAAGCCTCTTACACAGCAGATGCATGATCGTCACACTGAGTCACTCGGTATTAAATATGTGAGTGATTAGTTTTAGTGCTAGTGGGAGATTGTTAGAGTATGCCGAAAGACCAATCATATCATGATTGTAATAATACATTTATTTACCGATTTTATTAAATAAAGGCATTGCCAATATTATTTTCAGTTATATGTATGTGTTTAACATAAACTGAAAGATAATAAAATCCATATAATAACATTATTAGAATATACATAGTCGAGTATTATTATGGCCATGGACAATAATAATATGCTTAAGACTAACATGTTATTGATTGATGACAAGGAGTTTTCATTAACATAAAGATGTCAAAATCGATACATGATTATATTGTTGGAGAACAATGTATTGGATTGACCCATCATGAGCATATTTCTTGGATTATTATGTAACGGTCATAACATTTCTCATTGTGATGACTATATGTATGATCCTCAGACTTGAGATCAATGTCTTCCCAATATATATTGTTGTATGTTTTGATACAGTTAAACATGCTCCGTAACTGGTTGCGCTATAAAGACTGTTATTGAATATATCTCGATATATGTAGTGGGGTGTGTATGGTTAAGATAGGATTTGTCCTTCCTACATAATATGAAATATATTACAAGCCACTAGATTGAGTGAGACTAGAAATGCATGACTATGCTCAAATAAGTTGATATGTGATATCACAAATTATTCGTTAATTATAGTCTACTCTATATATCAAGAAACAATAGATGGGCTATACAAGTGTAATTGTTCTAAGACTTGTGCCTATTCTAGATATAAAGGACAAAAGGATGTAATACATAAAAAAGTTAATCACGAAGATGATATGTCGAATCATAATTTCTTGTAACTTAGGTGACAATGATATATTGCTATATGTCACTCATTGTATGTAATATTAAAATTGTTCTAATAATTACTACTAACGTTACAAGAACCTACAGGGTCACACCCTAGGATTGAAATGAGCAAAGATGTACAATTTGTTGTATGTTACTAAAACAAATCTAGAGTTAAGATATGTATATTTTATATACATATGATTTTAATTATCCCGAATAAAGTAAGTAAGCATTAAAATAATGTAATTTAGATTACAACTCTTTTAATTGATATTAAATTCGGAATAATTAAATAAGTTTTTAAATAAACATTAAAGATTGAAATTCAGATTATAAGTCTTTAATGTATATTTAATTTGAATTAATTAAATAATATTTTATTTATTAATTCAAAATAACTTTAAAAACCCTAAGATTAGGGTAATTGATATATTTAAATGAGGTAAGGTCTAGCAACCATTTTACTTCAGCCGTTTTTCTCAAAATCAATTTTGGGAAAAGAAAATTTTGCTCTCAATCGGGTGAACTAAGTATAGGCCGAGACGTGTTTTTGTGGAGGTTTACGATTCAAACCGTTCGTGATCACCACTTCTCGCTGCTATCTTTGCTGTTTTTCAAGGAACCCATTGTAAGAATTCACATCCTTTTCTCCTGATTTCGGTTTTACGTGCTTGGATCGCTAGTGAGATCATCGAGTTTTATTACCGCTGCGTCGTGGGGTGCGTCAACAGTCCCAACAGCCGCACTCTTTAAAGGCCCCGAACTATTGGCCTTAAGCATCATTCTCTCCAAGCCAAGGGTAATGTACTATTCCATGCTGCTTTGGAGGAGCACATAACGGAACATCCTACTAAAACACGAATTCTTTCGTTTCCTACGAGACACGCAAATGATAGAAACTTTTGTCGTGTCCCAACTTACCACACATAAAGCAAAAAAGATACAACTTTTCATACTAGAAAGT